AAAGAAAAACAAAACAAAACATGATCCAAGACTACAATCTCAGGCATCCCTGAGATCAAGTGAGGATTAGCAATTGGCACAAGTCATTCAGTGCTTTATCAAGCAAGAGAAGGATGGCTGGGGTATAAGTAGCTGGAGGACAAGGGTCCAACAGTAAGAATGATATCTCAGACCACAGTCATGGGAAATGGCTAAAGATTTAAGCCTGTGATGGGGGTTGACCATAGCTGATGATGGCCATGGATTGGGGTTCCCCCAGTCCCAAGGACACCAGAGAGACATTGGACGATTGACAGTCATTCCCATGGGTCCAGGCAACTGTTTATACTGACTGGTAAAGGGAAAACTCACCAAGTGAAGCAGCCAGTTTTGGCAGCTGTAGGTAGAGCAAACCTTGGTAGAGGATCCCAGGCACAGGGTGCCAGGAGGGCCTGCTTCGTCTCAGCACCAGTGTTATTTATTAAGCGATGCTATTTACCACAAGAGAAGCTACGAGGCACAACAAAACCCACTATAAGAGTTTATTAAGGGAAGGGAATAGAAAGGGTGTGCATAGGCCTATGGCATGACCGTGCAGGAAGAGAGAAGGAATAGGTGGAACTCGCTTTTATAGGTCCCCCACTCCCGCACATGCGCATATGGGCTTATGTAGCTACGCCACGAATGCACATAGATTATGTGATCACGCAGTGCACATAGAAGGTAAAGCCCTGGGAAAACTAAGCATCTTGTTTGGCTACTGGATAACACATGCACCATCATGTAGCTGGGGGAGTGGCTAGGAATTCTAACAGGCATACATGCAGGTAGAACACTGTGTACATAATAAAAAATCTTTAAACAAACTACTCTGAGGACTCCTGTGTCCTTGGGCCACATTTTGCAGCAGGGAAGGGGCCCATAAAATAAAATCCCACTAAAACCCAGTTGTGTTCTGTTGACTAAATCCATTCCAATTCATACACAATTTGGGAGAAAACTGTACATAGACGTGATCGCTGCATTTGAAGGAAACGAAGAGAGCTGAAGAACATGGACCCGAAATGGGGCCAATGTGTGTTTGAAAGACTGTAGCTGATGATCTGAGGAGAGGAAGCAGCCCAGTGTGGCCACAGAGGGGAGGGAACGTAGAGCTCAGCTCACAAACTGAACCAAACTACTTTGTTTACCTAACCCTGCCTTTCTTGGTGCTGGAGATCAAACTCACACCCTGCAGCCTCCTCTGCCACTGAGCTGAACCCCAGGCTGAGGCTGCCAGCTTAGAGGCGCTCAGGTGTCCTTGCCTTCAGCCAGGCCTGTCTGTGTTTACCGGCTTCCCCTGGAACGGCTGCTGTGTCGTGCACCACGGAGGTGAGGTGACATCAGGTAAGGACAACTCCGGGCTCTTGTTTCACACGTTCCTTGAGACAATGGAAAGAATGACATACACCTTCCCTGAGTAGGCAGCTGAGCCTCCTTCCATCCCATGAAATTGGGATGGTAACAGTGTTACCACGAAGCCTTGCCGCTTCTCTAACCTTTTAAACCAACGACCCACAGGACAGACGCCATTGGCACTGCATCCTTCAGCTTCCTGGCGTTAAACATCATAATAAATCTCTGGGAAAATAGAAGGTTCAAAAGTCTGATACTCCAAATGCAAAAAGTTTTGTATGTTTGTTTTCCTATTAAAAAAATAAATCCAGGTGTTTGCACCTGTAATGCCAGCACTTATGAGGCTGAGGCAGGAGGATTATGGCGAGTTTGAAGTCAGCTGAGTTATTGAGCTCCAGCCCTGCCTGGGCTATTAGACTGACACCCTGTCTCAACAAACCAAATATAAGATAAAAATGTAAAAGGAGATTCAAACTGTACTCTTTAGGGGACGTTTTACTCTTGTTTCAGAGGTGTCGGGTTCAGCAATGGAACCAGAAAAGTCGGGCATCTTAACATTTAGATTTGCCTAAATCAATTCCAGTTATCAAGAGACAATCTCATGCATAAACTGAAGCCTCTGCATGTATTTGGCATACAACACTGACATCAATTTTTGTATTTGTTTGTTGTTTGTTTGTTTGTTTGTTTGTTTAGAGACAAGGCTTCTCATGTAGCTTTGGAGCCTGTCCTTGAACTCACTCTGTAGACCAGGCTGGCCTTGAACTCACAGGGATCTGCCTGCCTCTGCCTCCTGAGTGCTGGGATTAAAAGCATGTGCCACCATCACCAGGCAAATTTTAAAAGATTAATATGGGTAGAGTGGTATCCCAAAAAGAAATTCATTGTGAGATAGAAACATTGGTTTCTGGAAACTTTTATTTATTTATTTATTTATTTATTTATTTATTTATTTATTTATTATAGGAGAGGGTGCCAGATCTCATTACAGATGGTTGTAAGCCACCATGTGGTTGCTGGGAATTGAACTCAGGACCTCTGGAAGAGCAGTCGGTGCTCTTAACCTCTGAGCCATCTCTCCAGGCCCCGCAAACTTTGTTTTAATAGTTATGTATAAGGGAAAGAAAACAAAAGTTTTGTGGTTTTTTTTTTAAATTCATTTGCTCATTCTGCATCACAGTTGTTGATTACTTTGGGCGCAACCTTCCTGCTACGAAGCTCCTCTTTCCTTTCTTCCTCCCGTCACTTTCAGATCTATTTTTTATGTCCCTGTTTCCATAATCACACTTGGAGTTCTGGTCTTGCCCATCTACCCACACACATTCTAGTCTCACCTGCCATCTCCCTTCCTGAATGTGACTAGATCTAAATGGAGGGCCTTGGTGGATAGCCTTTACATCTTTATCCTCTGTGACTATAAGATGATCTCCCCGCTATCCCCCTGTTAATCATTTTAATTAGGCATAATGCCGTTTTGGAGAAGTAAAAAGACACCTGTAATTTTGTATATTGTCTTCATGCTCCTAAACAGGAAACCACTTCATGCCAAAGGATGTGTTTTATGACAACCCTGTAAGTTTTTTCCTATCTCTCGGGGAATTTTGTCCTATGTGGCACAAATCTGGCACCACTTTCTTTTCATCTTTCAGTGGCTCTCTACCACCTAAAGATCAAAAGCCTAACATCCCCCCACCCCCTCACCCCCTACCCCCCCACCTCCCCACCCCCGCACTGCCCATATGAAATGTCTGTGTAATCTCTGTTGTTCTGAGACAGGGTCTGACTATACAGTTAAAGCAGTCTTTAGGAACAGGAGCTGTGGAAGTTCACATCGGGCTTTATATTTTCACCATTGAATATACTTTATGCATTTTACCACCAAGAGTGAAAAATCCGTGGCATTTCAGACTATCCTTTATATCCTGTTTCATAGCTCATATCTATTACCTGCTTTCAGACCTTCTTCATCCCCTGATAGTTAACCTTTCTTATTCTCTTTTCTATATATGTGCCCACATGTACATTTGTTTTCATACATACATATACTAGTGACTAGATTCTGCATGTCACTGAGAAGAGCTTTTCCCCCTCCTGACATTGTGTTTCCTTGCTTAATATTATGTCTATCCATTTTCCTGCAAACTTCATGATTTCATTATTCTTTAGAGCTGAATAGTATTCCTTTTTTTTTTTTTTTTTGTGACAGGATTTCTCTGGGTAGCTCTGGCTGTCCTGGAACTTTCTCTGGATACCAGGCTGGCATTGAATTCTGAGATCTGTCTGTCTCTGCCTCCCCTGGGATAAAAGGCATGCACCACCACCACCCAGCTTACACAATTTTTTATATAGGGAAAATTTTCATTTTCCATTTTTTTTTTGTTTGTTTGAGGGCTAACTAGGTTTATCCTAGTTCTTTGCTGGAGTGAATAAAGCAGCAGTGAACTCGGAGGTGCAAAAATCCCTGAGTGAGGGCATGGAGTTTTCTGGGTAAGTGCCCAGCATTGGAACAGCAAGGTCATGTCATAGTTCTAGTTTGAATTTTTTTGAGCGATCACCAAACTGAGTTCCACAATGGCTGTATTAATGTCACCCCCCACTAACCGTGAATGGGTTCCTTTCTCTCCACACCCTCTCCAACATTTGTCGTTAGGTGTACTGATGACGGCCATTCTCACACCGGCAGTTTTATTTCCTTGGTATTTACTTTCTGCAATTTCTGTAAATTCTGGCTGTTAGCCCCCTGTCTGAAGTGTGGCTGGTAAGGATTTTCTCCCATGCTGTGGACTGTTTGCTCTGCTGATGTGTCCTCTGCTGAACAGAAACTTTTTCATGAAGTCCAGGCTGTCGATACTTTGGGTTAGTTCCTGTTAGTTTGGGTTAGTTAGTGCTCTATTCAAAAATTTCTTGCCCAACCCAGTATCTTGAAAGGTATCTCTTATGTTTTCTTCTGGATGGCTCAGTGTTTCCGGTTTTAGATAAAGGGCTTTGATCCATTTTGAATTGATTTTTGTACCAGATGAAAGATAAGAATCTAATTTAAATATTTCAGTAGATTCTCATCAGCACTCTGTCTCTTCCCAAAACCTGCTTACTCCCTTTGAGCTCTGATCTCTTATCTCTTATTATAGCACAAAATGGTATTGAAACTATTATTCTGTTGTTGTTTTTAATCTGGAGTAAATGGAGGCAAGGAAAAACAATTCCCTATCTTGTAGTCTTGTAGTATTGCGATTCTTTATTTATTTATTTTCACCCAGGCTCAGACCTGCTTCCTGGTTTAGACACATCTTTGAGCTTTGAGTCCTCAGATCTTTTTTTTTGGGGCGGGGGGAGGAGGTGGGATTGGGGGGCGTGTTTTTGTTTTTTGAGACAGGGTTTACTCTGTGTAGCCCTGACTGTCCTGGAACTTGCTCTGTAGAGACCAGGCTGGCCTCGAACTCACGTAGATCCTCCTGCCTCTGCCTCCCGAGTGCTGGGATTGAAGGTGTGCACCGCCGCCACCACCAACCCAGCTCTCAGATCTTTTCCCTACCAGAGTTTTGCTTACAAGCCCCCTCGTTGCCGGGAAACGGCAGTGCGCCCCGCCTAACAACCGTTGCTATGGGCGGAGACTTGGAGCCTCGCGTGGAGTATTTAGGGCGCATGCGGCGACAGCGGTCTCAGCTCTCGCGAGGTTTCGTCTTCCGGGACTCGCCGGGGGACGTTCTCGGTGAACGGTGTGGCGATGTGTGGGGACTGTGTGAAGAAGGAGTACCCCAATCGGGTGAGCAAGTGGGCGCGGAGCGCCTCCCTCGGGCTCAGTCTTCGGCCGACATTCCCAGACAGGCCAGGGCCCCCTCTGCAGTCCTGTCACCCCAGTGACCCTGGTCTCCGGGCGGCTGGTCCTCTCCAAGGTGGCTGACGTCAGCGGGTCTTCCGGTTCTCCCGTGTTTCTAGGGACAACCCGGAAACCTCACCCCTCAGTCCCTCACGGCCATCCCGGCTTCATCCTTCAGCTCGATTTGATGACATTCTTTTATCTAATTCTGGCTCTGGATGAACCTCTGAGGTCATGTTAGAACGCACATTTTTTTCGGAGACAGGTCTCGTGTAGCCCAGGCTGGCTTCAAACTCACGATCTAGCCGACGATGGTCTTGAACATCACAGGCGTGCGCTCCTGGACCCAATTTATATGATGTTAGGGATAGAACCCAGGGCTTGGTGCATGCTAGGCAAGCCGCCCATCAGCTAGCTGAGCTCCATCCGCGCCCAGCCTCTTGTTCTAACCTACGTTTGAAGTTGGTAGAACAGATGCCCAGAGAGGAACGACCACTTACCCCAGTGTGAGAGCCAAGACTAGACTGAGGAACCCCCTCCTGTTCCCATGTCTTTTCCGTCCTCCGTCCCTTCTCGGTACTGAGGATGGAACTCGGAGCCTGTACCTGCCAGGCGCAGGCACTCTACCAACAGATCAGTACTCCCAGCCTTTAACATCTTGTTCCTCTCAGGCTTAGGAAGTATCGAGGCTTGACTTTCCTCATTCTTTTATTGCACATTGATGTTTGGTTAGGCAGTAGAGCAGTGGTTCTCAACTTGTGGGTCTTGACCCCTTTGCGGGTTGAACAACCCTTTCACAGGGGAGGCCTGAGACCATCAGAAAATACAGATGTTTACATTACGATTCATAAGAGTAGCAAAATTACAGTTAAGAAGTAACAATGAAATAATTTTTTTTATTTTTATTTTTTCGAGACAGGGTTTCTCCGTGTAGTTTTGGTGCCTGTCCTGGATCTCGTTCTGTAGACCAGGCTGGCCTCGAACTCACGGAGTGTGCCACCACCGCCCGGCTGCAATTAAATAATGTTATGGCTAGAGGTCACCACACCCTGAGGAACTGTATTAAAGGGTCGCAGCATTAGGAAGGTTGAGAACCACTGCTGTAAAAGAATGACTCACAAGGCAGCTTTCCGGCTGTGTAAGAACTTGCAGTTTGGGGAGAATATGATTGACAGTTAGTGAAAGGGAAAACTGATGGGGAATGGGATTGCAGTGTTTTCCATCCAAATAAAGTGGCTTTTGGATGATTGTGATTAAGTTAGAGGAGAGAAACCCAGTGAAAAGAGCAAGATGAAGGCTTTCTTGCGTTGGTTGAGAAGTAAAGCATCTTCATAGCTCTTTCTCTTAATATTTTGCAAGGTGGTGGTGACAGTGCACACCTTTAATCCCAGCGCTTGGGAGCCAGAGGCAGGCAGATCAGAGTTCAAGGCCAGCCTGGTCTACAAATCAAGTTCCTGGACAGTCAGGGCTCCACAGAGAAACCTTGTCTCAAAAAACAAAGCAAAACAAAACAAACAATATCTGTATCTATCTATCTGTCTATATCTCTCTATATATAGTGATATGTAAGTCTTTTGAGATTGTTCTATAACATTAATTTTCATATGGTACAACCATTTATTTGGTTTATAAAAATTAGCATTCATTATCAAATTTAAATGTACACTGAAATGGCACAGAAGTGTTTATTCTAGACAAATGCATGTGCACATCTGGCAGTGTGTATAAGAATGCTTATAAGATCTTTATTTGAAATAGTAGACTAGAGCAGAACAAACTTCATAAAAAGGAATATCATAAAAGTAGAGTCGTGAAAGCAAATCAACTTTGTGTGGCTTTCAGGTGGGAGTGGTTTTGCCTCCCAGGGGCATTTGGCAGTATGCAAAGACTTGTTTGTTTGTTTTTCAAGGCAGGGTTTCTCTGGGTAGCCCTGGCTGTCCTGGAACTTGATCTGTAGACTAGGCTAGGCTTGAACTCACAGAGATCTGCCTGCCTCTGCCCCCCAAGTGCTTGGATTTAAAGGCGTGCGCCACCACCGTCCAGCTAGTGACATCTTTGATGGTCACAATGGAGGACCTACTGGACAGCTAATGGGTAGGGACCAACTGTTCTGCTGCAATATACAGGACAGCTATCAAAACAGAGGGCTGTGCGCCCTAAGGTCAGTGGTGCTAGGTTGAGGAACCCTGAATTAGGGCAACAAAAGCACTAGAATTAGACACAAGAGTCTGACTTTAGTCTGACAGTATTGATAAAGACACATAAGGTGCAATTTTAAATTAAGCCAACTAAAATACAGTAAGGCTTTCCTGCTTGGAAAGCAAAAAACTTCTATGAAGTCATTGTATTGATGGCTGCTAAACAGAGTATGCTCAAGAGGGTTGTATAAGGGACCAGGGAAATTGCTCAGTGGTGCTGTTGAGAAGGAGCTGGATTCAGTTCCCGGTACCCACATGGCAGCTAGCTACTGTCTATAACTCCTGTTCCAGGGGACCCAACTTCCTCTTCTGGCTTCCATGAGTACCTGGCAGGCATTCATATGCATAAAATAAAGACAAGTTTTAAACAAAAAGAATGAGGGAGAAATTTCTAGAATGTAAGAATTAGTTTTTTGACTTGACTGGTGGTTCTGTAGTTTGCTTGTAATTATTTGTTATTCTGTATGTTTCTGATTTTATTATTTTTCTATAGTGTGTTAGTTTATGCTTTAATATCTAGAAAGAGGTTTTTATGAGTCTTAATGAGCATAGCATACTGGGGACTGTGAGGGGAAGTTCCCTGTGGAGCTTATTAACAGAGCCAGTTAGGGCCTAGAGAGATGGCTCAGAAGTCAAGAGCATTTGATGCTGCGGCAGAAAAGTCAAATTCAGTTCCCACCACTCAGGCCAGCAGCTCACAGCAGCCTGTAACTGCCCCCGCCCCTGGGGTGGGGTGTGGGGAGGGGGACAGGGTGTCCAGCATCCTCCTCTGGCCTCCACAGGCACCTGCATTCATTATGCAAACACCCCACACACAGACAAGGACATATATAATTAAAAAAATTTCATCTTTAAAAAAGAGAGGTTTATTCCTTTCACCACCTCCCCAGAAGTGGTAAGATAACTTTATTCAGAGTGAAGACAATAGTACAGACTAAAGGATGCACTGGCCTGGCAAGATGGCTTAGCGCAGGGCAAGGCACCTGCCTGCCAAGCCTGATGACCCAAGTTCCATCCCTAGGACTCACGTGGTTGCAGAGAACCAACTCCTGCAAGTTGTCTTCTGACCTCCATATGGGGTACAACTGTGTACCCCCAAAATAAATACAGAGGTGTAATAAAAGAGAGATAGACTGTCAAAATTGAAGGGTGAAGGATAGAGAAGATTCTGGAAAGCCTAGAAAGTGCTATTCTGAAGCATTCTCTTGCTTTTATTCTGGTTTAAATAATTAAAGGGCTGTCATGAGAATGAATTAAATGTTTCTTTGGAATTTGAGAAGACATATTTAGAAATAACTAGTGGGTAGATATTAAGAAAGTTTCCCATGCAACTTCAGACATGGGATGGAGAACTCTAAAGGAATTCAGGGCAGTTTTGTTCAGTAGAAGCTAAGTGACCATTTAGAATCCTGGTTAATTCCCATTCATAGATGGAAATTTTTTGCCAAAATAGAGATTCTTTCAATTAAGTCAGGCATATATTTTCAAAGATTTATTTTTATTATTTTTAATTGCATGTATGTGTGTGGGTGTGCACCATAGAATGTTTTAAAGAATAAGAATAGAAGCCAGGTGGGGATGGTGCATGCCTTTGATCCCAGCACTTGAGAGGCAGGTGGATTTCTGAGTTCAAGGCCAGTCTGGTCTACAGAGTGAGTTCCAGGGCAGCCTGGGCTACACAGAGAAACTCTGTCTCAAAAAACTAAATAAAATAAAATAATAGAGACAGTAGCTGTTAGGAAGCCTTTTTTTTTTTTTTTTTTTAAAGACATAGTCTTTCTACAGAGCTGTCTGGTTGTCTTAAAACACACTATGCAGACCAGGATGGCTTTGTTAGGGAGCTCCTAAGTACACAGTAAGTGATATTTAATTATTTATCTTTGGGTGGGTGCGTTTCAAAGACTAGAACACACTGAACTAGATTCCCGACAGGGTTCTAGCCTACCGGCCTGTAATGCTCCACTGAGACCTTGAGTTCAAGCATGAATTCACTTGAAGACGGATTACCAGTTTCCTGATATTATATATATATGTGTGTGTGTGTGTGTGTGTGTGTGTGTGTGATATATAATATCACAAATTTATATATATATATATATACTGATTATTATTTTGTGTGTGGATGTGGGTATGCTGTGGTGCGTGTGTGGAGGTCAGAGGTCAGCTCTCAGGAGTCCCTGTCCTCCACCTTGGGCTTCAGGAATGCAGTTCAGGTCGTCACACTGGTGTTGCAGTCGCTTTTACCTGATGAGCCATCCTGCTGTCCTCAAACCCAACTCTTTAAAAACTCAATGATGAAAGCTGTTTTCAAGAAAAACATTTTGCAAAACAGTTGGAACTAAAATTATATTTTTTTTCTTAAGAAATTTTTTTATTCATTTTACATACCAACCACAGATCCCCCTCTCACCCCTCCTCCTGCTCCCCCCCAGCCTCCTCCCCATCCCCCACCCCACCCCCCCATCTCTTCCTCTATAGGTAAGGGCTCCCATGGGGAGTCAGCGAAACCCGGTACATTCAGTTGAGGCAGGACGAAGCCTCTACCCCTGCATCAAGGTTGAGCAAGGTGTCCCACCATAGGCTAAAACTATAAAACTATATTTCATTTTCTAAAATTGTAACAATATTTCAACACAGTGTGAATGAAACTTATGTTTCATGTCTTCCCCTTTAGCTTCCTACTTCAGTGGTGCTGCAGAAATGAACTAATAATTGAGCCGGAAACAAAAATCTCTGAATTAGTGATATATATATGTGTGTGTGTGTATATATATTACATTTATATGCTTCATTTAAAACATCTATCAAAATTCATATACTCAGATTGTCTTAATAGAATTAAATGGAATTAAAATAATATATAGGTTAGATATATAGTCACTGAAACAATTGTGTGAGTAGGTTTGGAGTTTTTTTTGTTGTTGTTGTTGTTGTTTGTTTTTTGAGACAATGTTTCTCTATGTAGCTCTGGCTGTCCTGGAACTCACTCTGTAGACCAGGCTGGCCTCTAACTCAGAGATCTGCCTGCCCCTGCCTCTTGAGTGCTGGGATTAAAGGCAGTTGGCAGTATGCCAGGCCCTCAAATTTGTAAGTTTTTTTTTTTTTTCTGTGTGTGTGTGTGTTTGGTTTTTTCGAGATAGGCTTTCTCTGTGTAATAGTCCTTAACTGTCCTGGAACTCACTCTGTAGATCACACTGGCCTTGAGCTCACCTGCCTCTGCCTCCCAAGTGATGGAATTAAGAGTGTGCCACCACTGCCCGGCCAAATTTGTAAGATTTTATACTCTACTATCAAACTACTAATCTTTACTGTCATACTCATTTTCATGGTTTTTAGCCATTTATTCTTGTATACTGTGTAACTTTACAAGTCTTATCAGGGTTTTGTATAAATCACCCTTTCTAAGTGTGCTTAACAGCCCAGGCCAGCCATGGCTGCACAGCAAGACCCTGTCTAAAACAAAAGGGGTGGGGTGGGGGGGCAAGAACAAATTTGGATGGGCACCTCATAAAAAATGTAAATGGACACCAGGAAGACTGAGCCATTGGAGACATGCAAGCTGTGGTAAGAGTCCCACTCTACACCACTAGAGTGGCGAAAGTAAAAAGTGTACAGTACTGAGGGTAAATAACGCATTGGTGACAAGTATGTAAAATGGAGAACTTGAGGCGAGAGAGGGATCAGTGGTTAAGAGCACTCACTGCTCTTGCAGAGACCAGAGTTCAATTCCCAGAGTGCTCATCAGGCAGCTCACCACTAGCTGTAACTCCAGCTCCAGGGGGATCCAAGGCCTCTGGCCTCCATGGGCACTTGGACAGAACTTGTACAAACCCACAAACAGACCACGCACATACACATACTTTTTTTTAAATGAAGGCTGGGAGATGGTGGCACACACCTTTAATCCCAGCACTTGGGAGGCAGAGACAGCTGCATCTCTGAGTTCCAGGCCAGCCTGGTCTACAGAGTGAGTTCCAGGCCAGCCAGGAATACACAGAGAAACCCTGCCTCAAAAAAACCAAATAATAATAATAATAATAATAATAATAATAATAATAATAATAATAAATAATATAATAGGAAAACTTGGGAGAAGCATTTGGTAACTTCTTAAAAGTTCAAAAGTACCACTTAAAAGGTAACCTATGTGACCCAGAAATTGAATTTGTAGGCATTTACCAAGAGAAGAGAAGACCTGTGTCTGTACAAGACTTGTACATGAATCTTCATAGTTGCTTTATTCATAATAGCCCCAAACTGAACATAATCCAAATGCCCACCATCAGCTAAATACATGGAATAGTACTTGACAGTATAAAGCAATGATAAGCATAGGTGTTATATTGAGCAGAAGCCAGTAACAAAAGATTGCAAAGAGAATAATATCATTGGGTCTCAGATATGCTATGGATGTTGGAGATAGACTACAGAGAGTGAAGGAGCTTCCCAGGAAAGTAGTCCATATTTTCATAAAGTTGGTGGTTGCCTGACGATACATTCATTTAAAGTCATTGGGCTGGAGAGATGGCTCAGCCGTTAAAGGCTAGGCTCACAACCAAAAATAAAGTCATTCATGCTATGGGATGTTTTGTATGCTGTGAATGTGTTGCTCTGATTGGTTGATAAATAAAATGCTGATTGGCCAGTAGCCAGGCAGAAAGTATAGGTGGGATAAATAGACAAGAATTCTGGGGAGTGGAAGGCTGAGTCAGGAGACGACAGCCCGCCATCCAGGAAGCATCATGTAACGGCACACAGGTAAAACCATGGAACATGTGGCAACATAGAGATTAACAGAAATGGGCTGAGTTTAAATGTAAGAGCTAGTCAGTGGCAGGCTTGAACTAAATAAGCTTCTGAGTGATTCATTTTATAAGTGGCTGCAGGGTCTGTGGGACTGGGCAGGACGGGAGAAAACTTCAGCTACACATTCACTGTCCAGGGTATGATAAACACCCAGAACAAAAACAACTTGGGGAGGGAAGGGTCTGTTTGGCTTGCCTGTCCCAGAGTTTGTGTTGGGGGAAGTCAGGCAAGCACCAATGGAGAATTGCTGCTTACTGCCTTTCTTTCTATGGGTTGCTGGCCCTCCCACATTGGTCATTAATCAAGAAAATGCCCCAAAGACATGCCAACAGGCAAGTTGAATGGAGACAGGTCCTCAATTGGGATTCTCTCCAGATCCAGTTGTGTCAAGTTGACAAATACAAACCAGCATAATAACCTTTACTCTGTAAATTATACCTAGTAATGTTTTCCTGCTGGAAGCCTACAATTCCAAGGTGTGTTTGGTTTTTTTCTTCAAAGTATCTTAAGTCAGTGTCTTTCACATCATATCTCTAAACCATATAGTCATATCTTTTTTTTAAATCTATTATTTAATGTACATTGATGTTTTGCCTGCATGCATGTCTATGTGGGATCCCCTGGAACTGGAGTTATAGTTGTGAGCTGTCATGTGGGTGCTGGGAATTGAACCCGGGTCCTCTAGAAAAACAGCCAGTGCTCTTAACCTCTGAGCCATCTCTCCAGCCCCATATAGTCATATCTTAATTCCTCCTCCAGAACTAATCTATTCCTTAATACACAGAGGTAAGACACCCTCAGAAGGGAGAGATTAATTGTGGTATAGCGAACCAGGAGGTCTTCACTGTGCTGTTTAAGATGGCTCTTCCTCCACTAACACATTTCGCTCACCCTTGAGTCATCCCTGGAGCTGTGTGTGGCATCAGGTACACAGATGCTCTGGAGAAATGTTGCAAATGATTTTTATATCATAGTAATTATTAAAAATGCTCAGCCGGGGCCGAAGAGATGGCTCAGCAGTTAAGAGCACTGGCTCCTCCTGTAGAGGACCCAGGTTCAATACCCATCACCTACTTGGCAGCTCGCAACTGTCTGTAACTCCAGTTCCAGGTATCCAACACCCGTACACAGACACAGATGTAGGCAGACACCAATGCACATAAATAAATCATTTAAAAAAAATGCTCAGCCAGGCAGGGGAGGTGGCTCAGTGCCTAAATGAGCTTGCTGTCCAAGCCTGCTGTCCAAGCCTGCTGCCCAAGCCTGTTGTCCAAGCCTGTTGTCCAAGCCTGTTGTCCAAGCCTGCTGTCCAAGCCTGCTGTCCAAGCCTGTTGTCCAAGCCTGTTGTCCAAGCCTGTTGTCCAAGCCTGCTGTCCCGAGTTCAATGCCCAGAACCAGCACAAGGGTGGAAGGCCTCCACAGAGTTGTCCTCTGACTTCTGCACATGGAGCCTTGGCACGTGCACACTGCCTCCCCCCATAATAAAATATCTATTTAAAAAACAGAAATACTCGCTGTTGCCTAGAACTGGATTAGATGATCTGTAAAATGCCATTCACGGTTGTTAATAGCATCTTTAGCAGAGATTTCTCTCTAAACCAGCAATCTATTTAGTTTCTTTGCTATTGTGTCAGTCTGGTCAACTGGAGTGCTTAACCTTCTCTGCCTCAGTCACACTTACCCTTAAAGACTGAAATCTGTTGCTGGCATGCTTTCCTCTATTCTGTGGTATTAATAAAGGCTTGAGAGAAGCTATTTCACAGTGTGTATAGTCACCGTTAGCATTGACTCACTGTTTCTATTTTGATTGACTTAATTCTAGTTGTTTTGTTGTTTGAGACAGAGTTTTTCTGTCCTGGAAAACTCTAGGTAGCTCTAGCTGTCCTGGAACTCACTCTGTAGACCAGGCTGGCCTCGAACTCACAGAGATCTGCCTGCCTCTGCCTCCTGAGTGCTGGGATTAAAGGCATGTGCCACCACTGCCTGGCTCTTAATTCTAGTTTTATGGCTGTTCCTTTAGAAGTACTTCTAAAATTTTCTAATTTCTTTTTCATATTGAATGTTGTTTTTCCTTGTTATTTCTTTCTTTTTTTTAAGTCAGAGGAAAACACATTGTTCCTATTTATGAATGGAACTGGAGTTACAGACAGTAGTTGCAAGCTACCATGTGGGTACTGGGAATTGAACCCAGGTCCTTGGAAGAACAGCCCATGCTTCTAACCTCTGAGCCACCTGTCCAGCCCCCTCCATGTTATTTCTAAATATTTGGATTTAGCTCTGTTATGTTTGTTTGCTCTGTGGTACAGGGATCGCACCTAAGGCCTGACATGTGCTGGGCAAATCCACTGAGCCCCATCCCCAGCCTGACCTCTCTCTTGTAAACACACTTGTAGTCCTTAGAGATGTATGGATTTAACAGGTACTTCAAGTGTATTTGTAAGTAGTAATCTGTAGGAAAGCTGGCTACTTAAAAATGGACTTCAAGCAGGTATGTTCTCTGGCTGTGTCTTTACCAGTAGAGATTTTTGAGTCTGATAAGCAATATCACCAAAGATTTCAAAGTATAAGTAAATTCCTATCTCATACTTTAGGGAAACACCTGTCTGGAGAATGGATCGTTCTTACTGAACTTCACAGGCTGTGCGGTGTGCAATAAGCTGGATTTTATGCTGATCACAAACAGATCCCTGAAGGAGGAAGATGGAGAAGAAATAGTTACCTATGATCGTAAGTAGAGTCGTTTTGAAATGCAAATCCATTAGCAGGGATCAGGTGTGCCGCACAGGTGTTCTGAGGGCGCGTTCAGTGTTGCGTTACAGCACATAGTTACTGGCCAGTTACTGAGAGGAAAATCCAGTTAGGACTTCTTTTACCCAGCATCTCCACACTGTGACTAACTTTTGAAGGTAATTCAAGTGTGAGATTCAGGCATGGAATTGTTTTAAAAATTATTTCTCAGGGGCTTCTTCTGTTTTCTTATGAGTCAGGTCTTCCTTGCTATGTAGTTCAGGCTAGCCTAAACTTGGGATCTTCCTGTCTCTGCCTCTTCAGCACTGAGATGGCAGACGTGTGCCACCATACCCAGCCAGTTGTAAAGACTTTCTGTCACCTTAAACGAGATACATGCAGAGACTTTCTTGCTTGTTTTTGCCTGCCTTTTAAAGTCTGTGTCTCCTCTAAGGTGTATTTTGTTGGAGGGAAGAGGGCATTGTGGGTAAGAGCCACAGTTCTGGGGCCACATTCTTAGGTGAAGAATTTTTTTTTTTTTTTAAGATTTATTTATTTATTTATTTTGTATATAGCATGTATGACCAGGAGAGGGCACCAGATCTCATTACAGATGGTTGTGAGCCACCATGTGGTTGCTGGGAATTGAACTCAGGACCTCTGGAAGAGCAGTCAGTGCTCTTAACCTCTGAGCCATCCCTCCAGCCCCAGGTGAAGAATTCTTGCTCCAAACCTCTGTCTGCACTTGTCTGTTTACTTCATCACAGTGGGCCTTTGTTTCCCGAATGCTACATGATAGCTAAAAAAAAGTGTTTACAGAGTACCTGGCACACATAACCACAGTTTATTAACTGTTGTTACATAGTTAATTAATATTGTTAGTAGATTATTTTGTTACCATCAAATTCACTTGAACGTCCACCTGGTTTTATCTATGCCTGAGTATAGCTGCACATTGACTGTCTTTCCTGAGAATAACAGCATTTGCAGAGCCAGATGGGTCCACACTTTAAAAAACACAGTGCTAGACTTGCTAGCAAGGCCTTTTATTCCAGCTACCTGGTGACAAGCACCTTTACTCAATCTTGCCAGCTTAATCTCAGGTACTCAGGAGGTTGAAAAGTCAAGGCCTGCCTGGGCTACAGAGTGAGTTCAAAGCCAGCCTAGGCAACTTAGTGAGACTTCAACCCAAAAAGGCGGTGGTGGCACATGCCTTTAATCCCAGCACTTAGGAGGCAGGCGGGCAGATCTTGGTGAGTTCAAGGCCAGCCTGGTCTACAGAGCAAGGTTCCAGGATAGCTGGGGCTACACAGAGAAACCCTGTCTTGGAAAAAAACAAAAACAAAACAAAACAAAAAAAAGTAACAAAAAGGTTGAGAATGTAGTCAGTGGCAGAGTGCCTCTTCTAGATCCAATTCCTAGTTATGGATAAATAAATAAATAAATAAATAAATAAATAAATAAATAAATAAATAAATATAAAAACACTTAAGTATCTGTTTGTAGCTTTCAGTGGGAATTAATATATACACATTGTGCCTTTGAGTTCAGATCCTAATTAGGTAATGCTGTCATAGAGTTGGGATTTCCTAAGGTCAGTATTGAGTGAGTTTCCTGCTGTGTTAAATGTGAGAGAGTTAAGATTCCTTTAAGCATTATATGCTAAGAATAGAAACTTGGTTGCTTTAAGAAACGTCCCCAGACTTGATTGTGTGTCTTTGTTTTGACAGATCTGTGTAAGAACTGTCATCATGTAGTGGCCAGACATGAGTACACCTTCAGTATCATGGATGAATTCCAGGTAAATGTCTGGGTGGGTATTAGTGAGGTGGGATGGAGACTAACAGTATCCTCGAGCATCTACACACAATTTTTGTAATGAAGTACTAGCAGTTATTAAAGGAGACTAGCCCTGTCTTGTGTAAGCTGGGACACTTGAAATGTGGGTGGGTTTGTGCATCCTCACAGGAATCACTGATCAAAATGTGTGCTTTACAAATGATAGTTCAGTCCTATCGTTTTATTTAATTAACCCATTATGGGTTCTTTCTTTAAAAAAAAAGATTTAAAATATTTAGTTGTTTTAATGTGTGTGCGTGCATGTGCATGTGCACACCATGTGAATACACGGTGGTGTGTGAGTGCGTACTCACCATGTGAATACTTGGTGGTGTGTGAGTGCATGCACACCATGTGAACACTCGGTGGTGTGTGAGTGCGTACTCACCATGTGAATACTCAGTGCCCACAGAGACCAGAAGAGGGCTCTAGATTCCCTAGAACTGGAGTGACAGATGGTTGTGAGCCACCTTTCGGGTGCTGGGAACCGAACCTGGGTCCTTTGCAGGAGCAGCAACACCCTTGACTTCTGAGCCCTCTCTAGTCTGCCATTACGGGTTTTTATGAGATCACTGCAGTGGTGCCTTCTCTCCACCTGCTGTGGGAATTGCACAGTTGGCTTAATTTAAGTGTGGGCTGTGGTGGTGCACACCTTTAATCCCAGCACTCGGCAGGTGGATCTCTGAGTTCGAGGCCAGCCTGGGCTACAGAGTGAGTTCTAGGTGTTATCATATCTACTGGCAGGTATGAAAATCTGATAAGGAGGTTGTCTTTGTTTGCTCCAGTTGGCATGTGGATTTGAGCAACTGTTTGTTCTCAAGTATAGTAAGCCATATATATATAATTATTATATATAAATTATATGTGTGTGTATATATGTATATGTATATATGTGTATATATATATATATATATATATATATATATATATATATATAATTTATTTAACTTTATTTTTATGTGCATTGGTGTGAGGGTGTCACTCCCTGGAACTGAATTACATACAGGTGTGAGCTGCCATGTGGGTGCTGGGAATTGAACCTGGGTCCTGTGCTCTTAACCACTGAGCCATCTCCCCACCCCCTCCTCCACTAATTTTTTTTATAGTTTGTTAAGCTAAATTGAAAGATAGCTCTATGAAGGTTGGGGAGAAAAGCAGAATTAGTAGAGGGAAGGATTTGTTATGTTAGTCCCTGCAGTCAGGAGAGCACAGAAGAGCTCTGGCCTCTGGTGTAGGCTCAAGGTTGCTGAAGAACCGCAGGTCTGTGGTCAGGAAGAACTCCAACAGCAGCAGGACCCAGCTCTGGACAAAACGGGGCCCGGAGCTCTTCCTCACATGCTTGTTTTCAAGCTTTTAGACTGACTTTGTGTGATCTGCATATTTATCTACAAGATAAGAGTTCATCAGGTTAGAACGCTAAGGGAATTGTTTCCAGTCATGCACATTTAGATAGTATTTACTTAGGAAAATAAAAGTTAATCAGCCACAGCAGAACCATAAAATAGCATAACACCTTCCACTCATATTTTTAGATTTTTTTATTTATTTTAAGTTTTTTTGAGGTTTTATTTTACTTTTATGTGTGTGGGTGTTTGCCCTCATGTATATTTGTGCACCGTGTGCATGCAGTGCCCACAGAGGCCAGAAGAAGGTGTCATATCCCCCTAGAACTGGAGTTACAGTTGTGAGCTGCCACATGGGTGCTGGGAATTGATCAAGGTCCTCTGGAAGAGCAGCCAGTGCGCTTAACCACTGCGCCATCTCTCCGGCCTCTAATTTTTACTTATTTTTATTATGTGTATGAGTGTTTTGCCTGTATGTATGTATGTATTATGTATGTATGTATTTTTATGTATGTATGTATGTAAGTATGTATGTATGTATATATGTGTACCACGTCTGTACCTGGTACCCATGGAGGCTGGAAGAGAGCTCTGGTTGTGAGCTGGCATGTGGGTGTTGGAAACTGAACCCAGGTCTTCTGCAAGAGCGTAAGAAGAGTGAGTGCCCTTAACTGCTGTGCACTCTCTAGTCCCTCATTCATATTTTTAAATGGAAGTAGGAACATACATAGTCACATGTGTCAGGGTCTGATTTGGAATACTTTGGTTAATCTAAACATCTTGACCATACCTCTTTTTGGGGGGGCAGGGTGATAGATTTTTCTAGAGTGGCTATGTCAGCATCTACAGACACTCTTTTTTTAATTAATTAATTAATTAATTAATTTTTAAAAATTACTCATGATATTCATTAATTACACTCATGATATTAATTATATTTGTTTGACCATAACTCTAACATCCAAAATTTATGCCTTAAAATATTTGTATGGGCCGGGCGGTGGTGGCGCACGCCTTTAATCCCAGCACTCGGGAGGCAGATCCAGGCGGATCTCTGTGAGTTCGAGGCCAGCCTGGACTACCAACTGAGTCCCAGGAAAGACACAAAGCTACACAGAGAAACCCTGTCTCGAAAAAAAAAAAAAAAAAAAAAAAAAAAAAAAAAATTTGTATGGTATGTGTAACTTACAGCAAAACCAAGGTCTCAGGGAATAGTAGTGGCCAAATGAGAGTGAGCTTGAAAACCCCTCCCTATCTCTGTCTTTCTGAGAGGAAACGAGTGTTTACAGCTCTCATGGTTCCATAAGTGCAGGTGAGGTCTTTGAAAGTCCTGAGCAGATACTGAGATCGTATAGCCCTTGATGTCCCGAGAGAGCTGTTGTACAGCACTTCCCTGAGACCAAGGTCCAGCTCCTTTCCCCTTATGACTGAGTGTAGCCACCTTCAAAGAGCCCCCAGTTACTTTGAGTAGAAACAAGAGAAGAGGAAAGGGAGATGGCTTGTAGTCACAATGCCTAGATAATTTCCAGTCCTCCTGAAAACAAAATCCCTTAACTGGGCTCTGCCTCCAGTCTTACTTCACCAGCATCTGCCCTCGCTGGACCCACCGCCTACACTCAGCCATCAGACGGGTTTAATTATTCTCTTATGCTCCTCGGTGGCCGTCCACAGCCGCCATTGCTGCAGCACAGCTCAGGCCCCTCCCCCTCCCCCTGCGCCGCTGGCCCCAGCTCCCCCTCCTCCCTCAGCTCTTCCATACATACCCCATGTGAAGTGTTGGTCCAACGTTACCCCCCCCCCCCTTGCTCCCGGTGGAGGAGGATTTTCCTTCTTCCTCTTCAGTGCTCCTCTTCCTCACTTCCTGAGGGATCACATGGTACTGTCTCCAGGATCTTTGCTAGGTTGAAAACTTTTATATTAAGGCTATCCACATGCCCTCTTTTGGCCTCTGTGGGCACTGCCCTTACATATGTTAATCTGCAGCACCCACACAAATATACATAATTTTTAAAAAAGTTTAACGATGGTGGCATGTGGTAAGTTCCCCCACTTGGCCAGGTTGGTGAAAGGTGTCCTGATATCTCAAGGAGCTGGGTGCCTAGCACCTCAGCTTAGAATCCGGGCATACTTTCCCACAGAAGCACTGTAATGTGTGGTTAGACCCCACAGCCTTTGTACAATACAAATTTAAAAGACTGCCTTTTCCTGGGCGTCTAACTGCCGCATATATAACACACTCGTACAGGGGACTACTTGGGAATTCCAAAACTTTGACTTACAATGAAATGTGAAGTCCTGGCAGCCTGTAAATCAGAGGTTACCAGTGTAACCAGTCTCACTGGAATAATCTTACCGGGTTATATCGTGCATTGTGTCAGGTTTTTTTCCAAGTCAAGGGTGTTACTTTTGTAAAGGTCAAGGTGCTTGCTCATGACTGACCGTTACACACAGCACGTCGTCACAGAACATGGGAACATTCACTAGAGACGGGACAGTGGTTAGGTTAGTTGAAAATCCAGCTCTCTGTCTTCTTACCTATCTATATATGTCCTTTAATTAATATTTTTATGTTGTTGTTGTTTAGTGTTTTGGTTTGGGGCTGTACTGGGGTTTAAACCCTAGTCCTCATGCTTGCAGAGAGAGCACGCCACCAGCTGAGCCATATTCTCACCAAAATGCAGCCATGTGTGTAGCTTCACTTATTGGCCCTCCTCCCTTCCTCCCTCCCTCCCTCCCTCTCTCCCTCTCTCCCTCTCTCCCTTCCTCCCTCCCTCCGTGTGTGTGTGTGTGTGTGTGTGTGTGTGTGTGTGTGTGTGTGTGTGTATGTACAGGGTCTCGCCATGTAGCCCAGGCTGACCTCAGCTTTGTGACCCTCCTGCTTCAGTTTCCCAAATGTGGGATTAGAAGTGTTCTCCATCACACTGTTCCTTTTGTCTTCATTTCCAGTAAGAGATTGCCTTCCCAGTGGTGATGTCTGGTGGGTTCACAACAGTAGATACCTTGTAGATTTTTATTATATGTTGTGCTCCTGAGTAGTATCTATTCTCTAAGCTTTAGCCTGTATGGATTTCTCCCGGGTGTGTAGAGGAGACTTTAAAATCCCAAGTGCAGAGAGGTAGCTCGGTGAAAGGAGGCCTGCCTAGTATGTACTAGGCCTGGCTTTAACCTCCAGCACTGAGACTCAGTCGGTTAGCCACCTGAGGACTTCAGGAACAGTCTTTAAACGCTGCTGGCTGTCTGCTGTGTGTCGGACTTAACCGGTTGCAATGGAAAGGCACTTGTCTTGACACTTGGGGACCTTGTGCCCTTGTCACTGTTTGGCTCCACAGTCATCTCTTGTGACTGTCCAGACTGAGAAACGCCATTGGACTGATCCATTTCCAGACAGCAACATCTGGTGTGGAGGCACTAGTAGATTCAACATAGATACTTGTTTTCCTAAACAAAACAAAAATATTTTAAATAAAAAGTTGAAAGGAAATGACTCTGTGACAGCTGTAAGAACAGGACTTTGCCCTAAGGAATCTTGCTTAAAATAAAATCCCTTCTGTTACCAGTCTAGACATTTAAGCACAAGACACATAAAACTTAATAAAAACGTAGATACTTAAATAGCTGAAATCTTGGGCAATTAACTGTTGAAATGTGAGCTGTGGCATGCTAGTGAATTTAATAGACTTTTTTATTTCCTAGGACTGATAAAGATAGCTTTTTCAGCTTGAGAATGTTGTCTCTTTTTTCCCCTTCCTTTTGCATAAATATCCTAGAAAGGTATGGCCCTAAAAAATAAGAATTTGTCCTTAGAAATGCACATCCAATCTACTTTGTTATTTATTTTATTTATTCATTTTTTTTTTTAAAGAGGTTCATTTGAGCCAATTATCCCAGCACTTGGGAGGCAGAGAGAGATTTCTATGAGTTTGAGGCCTGCCTGGTGTACAGAACAAGTTCCAGGGCAGTCAGGGCTACACAGAAAAACAAAACAAACAAAAAAAGAAATTAATTTATTCAGTTACTATTTGTGTATGTGTGTGATGTGCATGTTTGCCACGGAACATGTGTAGAGTTCAGAGGTCAACACTTGGGAGTCCATTCTTCCAGTGTGGGGTCAAGGTCACCGAGCTCAGGTCACCGAGCTTAAGCAGCAAATGCCCTACACCTGCTGAGCTGTCTCACTGGCCCTTAGTCTTTTTCCTTTTTTTTTGTTTTTTTTTGTTTTTTTGCAACAAGGTCTCATGGAGTCTAGGCTGGCTTTGAACTCCTGATCCTCCTGACTCCATCTTCAGAGTACTGGGATGTAGTTGTGTGCCACCATGCCCAGTTTGTGCAGTGTTGGAGCCTGAAGCCGGGGCTTTGTGCATGGTGGGTTAGTACTTTTATCAGCTGAGCTACATGCGGCCCCAGCCCAGGCGTCTTCATTAGTTTAATTAGAAGCACTAAGCAAAACATGTGGCTTTCTTAGTCCAAGAGATGGCAGTGTACCTTCAAGATGCTGTCTTATGTCCATCAGCAGAAGGTTCCAGGATGCAGAATAAAGGTAAAACCCTGCTAATAGGTGCTGAAGAGCTGATCTAATGTGCAGCGAGATGATCAGTGACCTTTTGTAGGAAAGCTTTGTTGAGCAATCGTGTGTCGAGCATCTTTCTCCCTGTCCCTTGAGGTGATTTTGCACTTTGTCTTGTTCTAGGAGTACACCATGCTGTGTCTGTTGTGTGGCAAAGCTGAAGACACTATCAGTATTCTCCCTGACGACCCCCGACAAATGACTCTGCTGTTCTAAGCTTCCTGCGGGTCTGTTACCACCGTGCTGACTTGGTTCACAATATAGCGGGCCTGATGGCTTGTCTAAGAACGCAGTTCTTTATGGTTTTCTTCTGCTTAGATTTACCTCCTTGCAAGAAAAAGTAATTTGGGGAATTGCTGTTTCCTAGAGTTGAGCTCCTCTGCGAAGGTCCCTGTACACATCAGGCAGCCAGAGTGAAATGTCTTTGCTAGCCGTTATTTGGCTAGAAAACCACTCGAACCTATGCACGTCCTGCACTCAGAGGTTGGTCTCCTGTCACAGGAATCCAGGACTCCTTGCAAAAGTAAATGATGAAGTGGGGCAGGAATTCTACATGGTGAACTTAGAGTATTTTGTACTACAAAAAATAAACAAAAACAAAAACCCACAAAAAACAAACCACAGTGATTAAGGGATGGCCAGACAAGAACTCCCAGTGAACACAGCAGTAGTAATGTGAAAATAAGTGACTTGATATTGGATCATAGCCCAGAATGTGTAGTCAATATCCATGGGTCCATGGTGATAGCAATGATTGGGTGGATGGATGGATAAAAATAAATAAGGGAGGGAGAGAGAAAGGGAGGAAGGGGCATGGATTTCCGATGGTCCTACTTCCTCAGTGTGGGCTGTGTGCCTTTCTTCCAGAGTAGCATGGAGAAGGGAAAGAGTGACTTTAAGGAAGAGAGCCCTAACAAACCCTGGCTTAGCCAGGCGATCAAGGTTAATACTGCCAACGGTACGCCATCTTGATGTCAGACACCCTTGATATGATGCAGTGTGAAAATCTCTGAGTTTTTCTTCCCAGAGAGCCATAATCCATGTAATCATAAGAACCACCAAGTTCAGTTCTACAGACTGATAGTATCTTTCAAAGCAACTAAGGTCTTCAAAAACAAGGAAAATCTGAGAAACTAGGAGGCTAAGGAGGAATGGTAACTGAATGTACTGGGACCTAAATGGAAGCCTATCGCAGAGGAAGGACGCATGGGAGAAACCAGAGACATCCGGAAAAAACCGGAGTCAAGGATGGAACGTAAGTTTATAGGATCTCACTTACTCCAAAGGGATCATAGAATGTGTTGTGTGCATAATTGAAAGAGCACTGGCTTGGTGGTCATAGCCCTGGCATTTAGGCCACATTGTCCTCTGGAAGCAGATAGCCACTAACCAGAGCCGTACTCTAGACTTCAGTATCCTGTTTCTGTAAAACTAGGCTAACAGAATGTGATATTGTACTCCTCTTGCAGTATTGCTAGGAGACCCAAATGAACTAGTGAATGTAAAATACTTCAGAAAGCCTACGAAGTTCTAGATACAATGATGTGCCTTCAGTTCTTAGTCTAACACCCAAACTTAAAGGGGATAGGCATCAGAAACGAAATTGTAGGGGCTGGAAAGATGGCTCATCTGTTACGAGTACTGGCTACTCTGCTAAAGGACCTGGGTTCAATTCCCAGCAACTACATGACAGTTGACAGCTGTCTATAATTCAAGTTCCAGGGGATCTGGCATCCTCACACAGACATTCATGCACACAAAACCCCAATGTACTAAAAGAAAAATAAATCTTTTTTGATTGTTTTTTCTTTTCCGAGACAGGATTTCTCTGTATGGCTTTGTGCCTTTCCTGGATCTCGCTTTGTAGGCCAGGTTGGCCTCGAACTCACAGAGATCCTCCTGACTCTGCCTCCCGAGTGCTGGGATTAAAGGCGTGTGCCACCACAACCCAGCTGTAAAGAAATCATTTAAAAAAATTGTATCTTCATTGTATCTAAGGGTTCCCCACTAAGATACACAAAAAGTGAGCAACTGTACAGTGTTATGCCAGGGAACCTTTTATTCTGTAGCAGTAGTAATAGTAGTGGCACTTGACTGCTGCTCAGTGCCACAGCCTTGAACACACTCACACTTAATGAGTGTGGGGCCCTTGCAGCCA